GGGCCTGGTACATCAGCATTTCCAGTAGCCTGTCTCTTATACACATCTAGATGTGTATAAGAGACAGGGCTTTATCAGCCTTCACATTTCAAGTGGGATGAAGACTCAGAAATAATACAAATATGATTCATAAACCTCATATTCACTGTTGTAGGTCAAATAACTTCAAAAAGCAATTCTACATTTTAATAAATTCATCAATAATTCAGATGCGGATTTCCACATATAAATGCCAATTTCTTTATACACTCTGACTTGCAAAATTAATGAGGATTGATTCACAAAATCGTATTCTTCAACTGATTACATGTGAAGAGTAATAGTGAGTTTGATTGCAGAGGTTGCATTATCCAATTAAATTTAGAGGCTCGTTAATGAATGTTGCCTTAGATGGAAACTTAATTTAATCTTATTTCATGAGTCATTAAAAGAGTAATAAAAAGAATAACTGGAGAATGGTTGAAATTTCGTATCAAAATGTGATGTTACATAAGAAGAAACTTAGCAGCATTCAGTCAGTTGCAACATAACAGTGTTATGTCAGTAGTAACTTAATTGTGGTGCATTAGTAGCAACGTCACCAGTGTTACATTAGCAGCAACATTGCAGGGTTTCATCTGCAGCAGCTGGTAGCATTCCATCAGCAGCAACTTAACAGTGTCATATTTGGAGTAAACAGAGATAAGTAGCAACATGGCAGACTTATCATCAGCACTTGCCACAAAGTACAACATTTACGTAGTATTGCACTGTTTATCAGCATTTACTGTTACATCAGCAGTTACTGTTACATCAGCAGTTACTGTTACTTTTGCAGTGTATACTATATAAGCAGCAATTAGTAGCATTCCATCAGTAGCCACTTAACAGTATTATACTGTATCTGCAGTGAACAGTGATGAGCAGCAACATGGCAGACTTTGTCATCAGCACTTGCTAAAATGTACATTAATAGCAACATGTTGCAGTGTTATATTAACAGCAACATGACAGACTTTATCATCAGTACTTGCTACAAATTTACATTAATAGCAACATTGCTTGCAGTGTTACATCAACGGCAACCTGGCAGACTTTATCATCAGCACTTGTTGCAATATACACCCATAGCAACATTGCAGTGTTACATCAGTAGAACCATGGCAGACTTTATTATCATCAGCACTTGCTACAAAGTACATCAGTAGCAACTTATTGTGCTCTCCCACTTGTTATATATGATAGTTTCCACTTTTTTCCTGAGGGTGACCTTTTTCTGTTTTGTGTTGATATATTCTGACTTGTTGAATTCCACATAGTTTAGGCCTCAAATAATAGTTGACTTATTCCTAAACTATAACCTGGGTAGTCTGGAAAACACACATCATAAACACTCTGTAGATACAAATCATTTGTGGTGAAACCTGAAAAAAACCCCAAAAATTCAATTAAAAATTGATCAACTCATTTGAAGGGACCAAAACAACCACCTTCTAATGAGACACAGATCACAATAATTCTGTTTCACAAACCTTTTACCACAAAAATGCTATTTTTTAGTACAAAAAATTATTATAAGAGTATTTAAAATGATAGAAACACTATTATTTTTGTGTTGAGTTAAATTAATGAGAAAATATTTTAATTGAAATCTGATAACTTTTACATAATTAATATACAATGTTAGCTATTCATATATTCAGGAAGTTAATTTTAGACCAAGATATACAGTATGTTTTAAAAACATTTTTGTTTTGCAAAATTGCAATTCAATAAATTAATATTTTAGGTAGTATTCCAGTTAAGGATGGATTCAAGAAATGAGATCAGTACACATTCATCATATCTTTTTTTTCAATTTTACCCTATGTCCATGAAGCACATGAACAAAATGAGTCCATACAGGCTTCTATCTTTTTAAACGTAATATAATGCAGCATGAAATTATACAATTATATAAACTATCAGAAAACAGAGTAAAAATACCATAAATTTGTAGCGATAATCTATGATAAATATTAAGATGTGGATCTCATTTTTTATATCGCAGTTATTTCTTAATGTTAACATTTATTGACATCCTTATTACAAATTACCTTTTAGATATAGCATAAAATTCTAAACCTAAAAGACATAATTCATAATTTCCACCCGAATAATAATTATGATAATAACGATATCACTGATATTGTGGCCGATTATGAGTGATATTTATAGCTTCACTGCTGTGTTGTTTAGAATTTTTATGAATATTGTTTGTTATTCAAATACATATGTATGTGTGACCTATAAAACTATTTTTCACCATGCAGTTTCATTTATATATGCACTTTGTGTATTTCCTGGTGAAATCTTCAATCTTCTTTAATTTTGATGTTTTTAATGTTGTTCAACTTCTTCATCTTATTGGAGATTGCAATCAACTTCTCTCCCTTATTTTACAAATCTCTTATAATTATTCATAATCATAACTTGATATATATATACAAAGCATGGTTATCTGTTACAGACATACATATTGTATGAGAAATTGCTCACTTTGAAATCCATACACATCCCATTTTCGTCATCACTATATTTTTTTTGTTTTTAATGTGAAGCACAGATGGACACTTTGCATTTTGCAGCATATAAGCTTAAACCAGGCCATACCCAGCTACTTCTGATGAAAAAAATAAAAGAGTTTTATATACAATTTGAATATTTTTGTGGATATATTATTTTTCTACAAAATATTAATTTTGTTTTTATCCTTCCAGTACTTTTTGTAGTTTTTATATAATAATAGTACTTATAATATTCCAGTCAGTTTGATTATCATATTGTATGCTGATATTTTTTATTAAAAATGTAGTATTTTAATATAGTTATATATATATTTTATATATAAAATAGTATTTTTAGGAATTATATGGTCCTATTAATTACATTTGCTGATTCTATATTGTACTCTTGTTCTATACTATGCATACAAAATATTAATGATAAAGAGAATTTACATTATTCACATATGGGGTCAACTTAGAATTAATTAGTACTGTACATTATAGCATCATCTGATTCTACTGCAGTACTACTCCTACGTTTGTATGCAAACACAAATGCTGAACCCATACACACATCCCACACATACTGGCCTACTTCCTATACATTTTACCTTTTGAGAAGATATTATACTAGGTTCATATTAACCCTACTTTGTAGAGTTCAGTTCACATATGCCAACTGATCGACCTCTAGGGATACTGTCACTCCTAACCCCGCTGTATTTACCTCTCCAAACAAATGGCTTGGCCTGATTTGATCATTTACTGTTATTTAAACTAAAAGTTTCTGTAAAGTGATGATTGTTTTAAACATTAATGTATGAATACTGCAGAAGTAGTGTAGTAGTGTTTATATCTATATTCTACATACTGTAAAAAAAAATAAAATAAAGATGATTGTTGTTGATCATGAATTTGCTTTACATTTGAATGACTAAATTTATCAGTTGTAAATTATAATTCATCTTTTCTATATTTCTAAGCCAATGAAGAAAGATTAAAAGGAAGTTTTTTGAAATAATATAAACATATCTCTGTTTACATATTGAGCTGTGCATATGTAATTAATATGAGTAGAGATGTTCTTACATTTTTTAAGGACATGAAACTGATTGATTCTGCATCACCATGGAAATGTCATTTTTGTGAATTCTGAGCATTCCCTATCAATCATCAGAATTATCACTATGAATGTTGTATTTCCACAAATTTGCCGTAGTGTTGTGTAATACATTCACTTATATATTCTTTGTACAATTGGTTTAAATTTTTTTTTTCTTTTAGCTGAGCTTGGTGACTTTGATTCTCAGAAACATCAAGATGGCTACATATCTGAGTTTCGTTTCATTCCGAACCAAACTGAAGAATTAGAGCAGCAGATTATGGAATCCCACAAGACCTTGCGGTAAGTATCAAATATCAACATAACATCAAATTTGTTCTTTTCATCTGTCAATTTATATCTCACATTTATATACAGCCCCCTCTTGAAGAACCAATCCAAATTATATACCTTTTTGGCAATTTCAAAATCATTTACCAGTCAGATATACTTTTAATAAATAAATCTTTTATAATTATTAACACCTATAATACTTGCAAATCGCACATTGACGCATATACCCTAGTGGGGTCCTCTGTCAGTATTGATTCAGATACAGTATATTTTAATATAGGAATAATTACAAATTAAATAATCATTTTATGACTGCCGTCAGAGAGAGTAGCAAACACCATTTGCGAGGCTTTCATCCACACCGTAATTCACCCTTTGATTATTCCTCACATGGTTGTAAACATAGTTGTTATTACATCAAAAATAATATTCAAACTAGTTAAACCAGAGAGTATCAGGACAATAAAATACAGGTATTAATATAGAGCCTGTGATAAACAAATTATTAATGAACAAACCGAATAGATATTTATTATCTCACTATTAATCTAAGTATTGTATTGATAATCTTGTATATCTCTCCATGTATTAAACTGACTATCGATAATCCCTGCAGTATTATTCTAATAATCTAACCTTTGATAAACTGACCTAGTAATATAGATATTAATCTGCAGAAGGATATTGCATTCAACAGACAAATTCAACTGAGAAATGGTTCCAAGAAATTTCGCGCATTTCTACCTGATTTCATGCCAAATTATTGACCGAAACCCACTGCATGTACCATCAGTGTTTTGGGCAGCCATAAAATTGATTGAATTACCCCAGTTTGAGTCAGGTGATGGTTTGGAAGTGATACGGAACACCTTGAAGGTGTGCACACACTGGGGTTTATTAGCCCCACGGGAGAGCTCCGAACAATGAGTTGGAAATGGAACAGTTTTCGTGTGGTTTATCGCTAGGGAAGTAATCCTTCTCTCTAAACGAACTTGTAAATAGGTTATAGTGCACATACGCACACCCAAATGTCATTGATAATGTTGATGTTCCTACTCTGCTCTGATGGAACTTGTATTTAATGTTATTACACAGTATTCAATCATTGTCAATGGTTTGTTCTTGGATTTGAAGTACTATAGTACTCCACCTGATTTTGTAGTACACTAAATGTGATTGTCAAATTTAAAGTACCTGTGTTCCCACATTATTAGCCAATTTTTATAAATACTTTAACAAAAATCAAACATTGGCTTTGAATTGGACATGTTCCACTGAAAATTTGCCTTTTGCTTATTTTAAAACAACACAGAATTCCCCATGAATAAGCCCATCCCCAAATCTTGGCCCAATGTCGTATTCAAGGGAGCAGGCTTATATTTGAAAAACTATGGTATATTGAAGAATTAAATTGCAAAAAATACATTCAATAAATGTTGTAGTACTGATAATTATCCAGTGGTAAAATTACAAGCATTTGAGATCTTGATGTTTTGAATAAACTATTTTAATCATCTTAACAATAAGGGAAATGAAAAAGGAAAATGCAAAAAGACAAAGGATGGACATTTTTTTCAATGTTTTGTGGAAGTTACCAAATAAGTGCATGGATTCCATAATACCTCCTACTTTGGAGTGTAATGTGTTTGCTTAGTGTTTCATGTAGACAGTGGTACTCTGCTAGTGTTTCAGACAATGTTTGCGGAATTTAATCTGAATTCCACATCAATCATCAGCAGGAAATCCACATCTTGACACCCACCTGTTTAAAAAAGTTCACTCATTGAAAGACTGATGGTTTGAAAATAATTATATCTATCATAATTTTCATTGATTTAATTGGATTTATCATTAATGATTCACTTCAGTTCAGACCACCTACAGTACACTAGACTAGTAGGAGAATAACCTGTATCTCACAGCGTCATTGCGCTGAATTGTGTGCGTGGTATGTGCTTGCTGTAACAACCATTTTGTATTCACCAAATTTGTCTGCCTGTCTGTTAGGATTATGCAAAAATAGACTACTGATCGAGTATGAGTATACTGCAGAAGTGAATGCTACCTGATGATATCCATCAGGAGAATAACCTGTATCTCACAGCGTCATTGCGCTGAATTGTGTGCGTGGTATGTGCCTGCTGTAGCAACCATTGTGTATTCACCAAATTTGTCTGCCTGTCTGTTAGAATTATGCAAAAATAGACTACTGATCGAGTATGAGTATACTGCAGAAATGAATGCTACGTCTAAGTTCAAACGAGTCAAAAGTACTCTAAACATATTACATTATCGGGCAAGGTGCTATCAGCCACTGGTCATCTGTCAAAGCGTAGGGCCAATTACCAACTTCCTGATAAACTACATTCAGTCTGTACTTGGCATGCCCGTCAATGAAATGAACTGAAATGAACCTTAACACATTCCATTTTACAGAAAAATTCCACTACCACAGCATAGAGTATATCTGATAGCGCAGTATACTCAAGCTAATAAGTGACGGACATTTGACCATTTCATCCCAAAAAATTATGACTGTACCTCTGTTTTAGACCGAAATTTACAATTCCACCAAAACTGCTGATACAATTGTTTCCTTCATTATTTAGTATCCAAGGTCAAGTGTGAGGTATGCCCTATCAAGTGCCCGCGCTAGTTATCAATTGCCCTTTGTACACTTTTTCCATTCTGAATCATTGGTATAACTTTGAGGTAGTGGCGCCATAAGCATCGCTCCTACAGGATACATACACACGCCTTACAAATTAGATGCATTGTTTAGTCATTATTTTTATATTAAAATGGTACAAAGGGTTGAAATATTACTGTGTACATTCGTGCTTCCGATGAATAAAGAACAATCTACAACAATGTTCTGATAGTAATTAAGGGATGATTTTTTTTTCATTGGCAATCAGTATCGTACATTGATTTATTAAGTAGGTATATTAACTACATGTTAGGTACACTACAATACAAGGCTCGCAATTGACATACTGAATACTATATCCATCAGCTAGATAATCTACCAATCACAAAGCACCTCTCATAACAGCTATGAAAAAGATTAACTTGTAGCTTTTAAGAATATCTGTAATCTACCAATCAAAAATAATTTTTTTATACAGCTTAGAAATTATGTTCAGTAGGAATTCAGAAATATTGATTACTAATACATTTACATCCTCTGATCTCATTTGTCTTTGTGTATGAATGTACATTTATACATGTACAGAATTGTGTTACCTTATTTTATATTTTGTGATTATTATCCCATAATGTTCGATCTGTAATGCAAGATACATATTTTATTTTTATTTTGCTTAACTATAGAATTACACTACAGTATTTCAAAGTATACTGAATTTGCAGGCCAGTGGTGAATTTTTTCAGCAATGCTTTTACCAAATGGAACACCATTGCACTTTAATGGTTTCATTATTTATTTTTTAATTTTTTAATTGTTATATTTTTATATATTTTTGTTATGTATTTATACAAATTCAGTAATGCATATCATGATAAAATAAATGGTTCAAATCTTTCTTTTTTACCATGAATGTTTTGATGATATCAATGAAGAAATTTGGAGTTCAACTAATTTGGTACGTTGATGTGCTTAGTTCAGTTAAGGCATATCATCAGCACCCTGAAAATATGAAAATATTTTAATTGAACATTTTCTATGAAAATTACTGAAAGGGTAGAGGGGAGTGGCTTACTGTAAACCCAGGGTGGGCTCGTATCTAAGGAACTATGGTAGTAACTCAGACTCAATGTAAAGTTCAAAAGTATGTAGGTTTCAGAGTCAAGCAGACAGGTTGTTTGCCCATCTGGCTGTGTTTCACTACTCAGTTTCATGAGGCGTGTCTTACGAGCCACCTGGGTGCAATGATATTTTCTCCCATCTTTCCAAGATGCTGATTCTACCTATATTTAGATCCAGATGGTTTCCATTGATATGTACTGCACTTCATGTTGGGAGAAGCCAGAAGGTTGTTGCATGGTATATGGTATATACAGATACTATGTATTTCATAGGTTTCTAAGTACAGCAGTACAAGATATCCTATCTTATATCATATCTAAATGTTGATTAAATGTTATAAGTATTTACATAGCACATTTTTCATGCGGTTATACATAGGCATGGGTCAATACCTGTACAGTTAAAATGTAATCAGTTTCAGTGAAAAAGTAATCAATTACCGTGTAAATGTAATTGATTACATTTTAACTGTATTTGACCCCATATATAGCACCAAGACAAATTCACTACTACAACTTTGTACTCCCCAAAAGAGTGTAATGTATTATTTTTTATCAAAGTTAATCTGACATTTATTTTCTGTTTTTTAATTGAATCGAAACAATGATTTATTTTGACATAGCATTCAGTAATGTGTGATGGAAAGTTACAATAGAAAGCTCTTTCATGTTGCAAGATCACTTTAGAATGTAAAATCTTTGTTTTTTTCACGTTCATTTTTGGCGAGTTGAGTAGCCGAAGACCAGTGTACAGTACACGTTTGGCTTGTGCTCTTTAAGGAACTCTGTGACACATGAAATGGGTTATTAGGGGCTTAGAATCTTCTTGAAACTGACATCACCCTGGTAGCTAACCATGAATATCATCAGGCATAACAATGCAATCAAATGCATTAAGAACTGAACACAAAACTAGATCTTCTCAAAGTGGCATCGTTCACCTTGGGACCGCTCTGTATTCTCCTATAGTACCTTTTTTTATTTTGATGTGTTAAAACAAAATTGTATGATTTAAGTATAAAGCATTTTGACATTTGAGCTTCATAATTTTAATTGTATCCAAAGAACAATTAAAGCCATCTCATTAGAAAGTATTTACCAGTCTCCCAGTTGGCAGAAATTGAATGGGTTTTTTTTGCGTATGCTCATCTAAATGCAATTAGAGTGCCAAGTATGAAGTAAGCTGTGTTGCATTTCAAACTAATGTGGAGGCTATGGAGAAGGAGTTTTCAGGAAACCTCACTAGAGAATTTCAATAGAATGCTACTTGGATTTGACTCACAAAAACGAACTTTATTAATATTATTCTCTACACTACCATTACAGAATTTTCAAGAGTTTTTTTTTTTTAACTCTATATGTTTGCTTTTAGTAATTCATTTATTTATCCCATACTTTTTTCAGTGGAATAACTTCTCTGTGAAAAATATCTCTCTTCTATAGGACCATTGTACACATAGTAATTTGTAACGGGGTTGACAGAGGAAGGTTAAAGTAGTAGTAATCATTGCCGACCCACTTTTGCTCATAGGGCTGGAGCTTGTCCTCTGTTTCTGTAACATGTAAGTGTATAAGAGTATGATGTTCCCCCTGGATTGGATGCTGGTCCATTGCAGGTTACTTCCAGCAATTTGGTGGTACCCTCTGATACAGCTGAGTAGACTGCAGCAATGTAGATAAAGTGCCTTTGCTCAAGTACACAAGCAAAATGCACAGTGAAGTATTGAAACCCCAACAACCAAACCACTTCCACTCTGAGGAAGCGTGCAAATGTGCAACTTTTGGTCCTCATGGCAGTTAACATATTAAAGGGGATAAAATTAATTTTGAATGAGACACAGCCGGGAATACCATTTTACTATTAGACTAATTAGATTCTGTCTGCAGTACTAAGAATTACAGTAGATTAAATGAAAAATTATCAATTACCTGTTGGAGTTAGCAAATTGGAATTGCTCTTTAGGGAAATATTTCATGTGTTCGGCCATACATTTTTTTTTCATGCATATCAGGATAGGAAGCATTGTGATGGACTTACTGTACTTGAAGCATGTGTGTCCGTATGTTACCAAGCAGACTCAAAAGCTATACACATTGTTACTTTAATTCTTTGTTTAGTTTTAGGCGTGTGTGTTTGCAATTTCTTACAATTTTTTTTTTATGAATATTAATGATGAATGGAGCAATTCAACTCTCACCTTTACATTATTCAAATTGTAGAGTGAACAATTGCTGTCTCTTATACACATCTAGATGTGTATAAGAGACAGCCATCACACATTAAAAAAAACACTTCCTTCGGCAATATCTAATAATTATAAAGATGTATTGGATATTACATTTCGGATTCAGCTGTTCTATCGTACGAAAGTAATGATGTTTGAAGTGCTGTGACGTCATTGTATTTATCGGTTCTTGCAAAAAATACTTTCCAGTGTTACTCATAACCATTTTTGTGAAATGTTAGAGATACAGTATATCTATAAACTTGAATAATAATTAGTGATTTTTTTTATTGATTAAATTGTGAATTTAAGATTTTAACACTTCTATCTCTGTCTCTTATACACATCTAGATGTGTATAAGAGACAGTAATACAACAGTTGTGGTTACTATGCTCACCTTGTAATATTCAAGGTACTTTGTTCGATTCCTCCAGATGCTTGTGTTCCTCCTCCTGCACTTTACTGTCAAAAGAAGGATATAATTTCCTTCCTTTCTCTAAACCTCAAATCAGACTTTGTAGGATGAGATTGAGTGTATTAATCGTGTAAGATCTGAGGCACCAACACCATAAAGTCCTGTCCAGACTCTCAAATATTATTTTACAAAAACATGTGACATGCCTAAATATGTTCATGATGACATCACAACATGACCATATATAGGCACATCATGACTATATATGGGCATACAGCAACTTTTTTCAAAGAAAATTTGATAGTCTGGACAGAGCTTAACTTTTGATCTAGTTTCAACAAATCTGGTATTTCTCTGTGAACTAGCCACCAACACACTCACTTCAGAAAATTTTTTGTTCCATAATCTATATACTGTAAGGGGTCATCCATAATTATCAACATTTTCAAAAGAGTACAAAACATACGCTTTGGGGTGGGGGGAAGGGGGTAGAAAGTGTAGGCATAAGTACTCTTCATGAAAAAGATAAAATGTTGATCCCAATAAGATACAAATCAACATTTTTTTGCATACTCTTTCAGGGGGAGGGGGTCACAGAAAAAAGTATGTTTTGTACTCTTTTGAAAATGTTGAAAATTATGGATGACCCCTAAGTAATGTACAATTGTAAATAGTTTAATTGAATTCATTCTGTGTATTTCTTTAAATATCATATAATACTGTACTATTTCCATATAATTTATTATTGCAATGGCATATTTCCATTCTTAAAAACTGAAATCCACTCACAACACTATTTGTACGTTATATTTTCAGGGGTCAAACCCCAGCCGTAGCAGAGAAGAATTTTTTAGAGAGGGCTAAATGGTTGGATATGTATGGTGTAGATTTACATCCAGTACGAGGACAAGATCAGGTAGACTACTACCTTGGCTTAACACCCACCGGAATTGTCGTCTACAAGGGCAAAAATAAAGTCTCTGTTTACTACTGGTAAGGAAATGTCAATAGTAAAACAACTACTTTTAATTTATTTTATTTCAAAATTTTTTTCTATAGCAAGATTTCCTGCCACTAACACAGGCCCCTAACCAAGGGGAGGGTCTTGGAAGTTCAGCCGAACCCCCCTCCCACCATTTTTGACAAGTTTACTACTGTAGTATTATTTTATCATTACTTTGTTTATTAAAAAAAACACTTCTGAGTTATATTTGGCCTATATGAACCCTCCCCTTCCCATGAACCTGGCTACGGGCCTGTAACAGAATGAAAGTACAGAAAAGAAAGACATGTATTAGGAAAAGGCAAATAAATTGATAACAGTTTTTGAGTTTGATTTTATGCTGATAAGTTCTGAATGAATCAGAAAAATATATCAATAGAGGCACTCTGATCAACAAGGAAGCTATATAACTAACACCACATTCTTTGATAACTAACTGAAATAATTTATAATTTATTGAGCAGCCTTACTGGCTGGTAAATTGCAAGGGGGGAAAAGTAATTTTGTAGCACTTTACTACTGACGATGAGATATTTATTTTACAAGCTTAGGCCCCAATCATTGGGGCTTCATCAGGGGATGAACTACACCTGATGAAAACCCATTGATTGAGGCGAAAGCTTTTGAAATAAATATTATTCTTGCTCATAACATGTGCTATCAACTCAAATAATTTATTACACAAGTCTTCGCCCTGCTGGCGAAAGCTAGTGTAATAAATTATTTGAGAATAAATAAAGTGCTACTTTTTCTGTTTCATTCGTTTACCTGACTAATACGGCTTCACCTAATAATATATACTCAAACATTTATAAGGCGCCAATTCCAAGAATGATCAAAGGCACGAGTCTTATTACCCCTGGTCACTGGATAACGTACAATGGCAAACCAGCACAAAGTGCAACTTCCTCTGCTCCCTGGGGAGTATCCCTAGTCGTTCGCTACTTCTTTAGCGCAGGAAACTATGAACATTCAATGCCACAACATCCTACCAGGTACCCATTTATACTCCTGGGTAGAGAGAGACAAACGTAGATAAAGTGCCTTGCCCAAGGACACAAGCAACTTGCACAGCGAGAGTTTCAAACCCCTGACCTCAAGGTTGGGAGTCCTAGCCACAATCGATGCACCAACCACTTCTACTTCTACTACTTTATAGATAATGTGATACCAGTTTTTGAAGCTTTTACTTTTGTTGATAGTATCAAAAGATTAGTGAGCTCTTTTTCCAACTGTACTTGAAAATCCCTTCTGGTATTTCATCTGTCTCTGTTATATAGGTATATCAGGGGTGGATCCAGAGATTCCAAGAGGGGAGGCGAAAGTGGGATTGATTGAGACAATACTACTTATTGGGGTCGGGGGCATGCCCTCACAAAATTTTTTTTTTCTAGAAGCCTGAAAATAACCTCTGAGGCGTTTTGGGCTATATGAGCCTAGGAGAGGTTTAATCATCTGTGACCATAATTTTGCTCTGATCATTTTAATCAAATACTTATAGGCAAAGGGTTGTTCGTGTTCACTACCGAGAAAGAGAGTTTGTCCTTACTACAAAGACCAAGGAGGTAAGATTATGATTATCTACTGGTATATTTTTCGATTTCCTGTCATCACTTCTTATTATAGACTTCAAGTGTACACACTTTGCCTATGTTAATTTCACTTAAAGGTCATCAAGAGTATTATTTTATATGATTATATGACCTGGCAGTAAAAAAGAAAGACTTAGAGCTATGATGGTCGTTGATATGTGCAATGATACATATGATATATGAAAGTTATATGAAGAGTGATAAAGATTTTGGTAAATTGTTAGAAGAGGTAGGCAATGGAAGATTTGAAATGAAGTGCTGTTAAACTGTTGCTCTCAATGTTCCATTAGCCATCGCCTAAAAACGTATGGCCGTCATTGACAGATGCTAGTGTATCAGTTAACATAAAAAAGCAAACTATTACATTATTTATCATGAGCTGTTTCAACACAGATTTTGGCGAAGTGCCATCAGTGTAAAACTGTGTGCCCTAGCATGCCAGCTTGAAAAAACAGATGTTTAACTATGAATGTTGATTATAATGATTTGCATGTTGATTTCTCTTGCAGGGTCTTGACAATGAGTATATCTTTGAGGTGGAGGGTAAAGCAGGGTGCAAGCATCTATGGAAGTGCTGTGTTGACCAGCATAGTTTCTTCAGACTGCCTCAGATGACAGACAGTCCAGGTGATGGTGTCAGGCAAACGGGCCTACCAAGAGGCCCAAAGTACCGACAGAAGTAAGTCCACATCAGAAATTTCATAAACTCTTCTGTCTTCAATATTTGTTTAATGGTAGCAATCACATATTCTCATGATATTACTATGGTAAACCTGCATTCATGCTCCAATCCCTGTTGAAAGTGTAAACATTCAGAACTTCCATATTGTGGTTGGCTAAACATTCCAAATCATGCAAATATTATGTGAACACATAGCCTATTTATAATTATACTTTCATTGTTGAAAACAATTTTTCTTCATTTTCCAGCGCAAGAACACAAAAGGAAGCTTTGGAAATATCCCAAGAAATTAATCGACCACCACCAAAAGTTTATCGTGCTCAGAGCAGACGGTACGCCCCTCGATCGGCAGAACAGAACACAAAAGGTCGTAGCCCACCAGATGGTCAACATAGACATGACAGCAGAAGGTCTACAAACAACGGTGGTACAACCGTGTCAAAAGCACCCGAGCCAACAAGGACGTAAGTATGCGGTATAAATAAAAGAATGAAAGGGCTTGCAAGTACTGCCGGCAATTAAATTCACAACAAATCTTTGAGGTTGTGTGACGTACTGGTTTTGGATACGGTAGAAGTTGAATTTTTTTTATCCTTGGTCAGATTCTTAGGCTCTGCAGTTTTATAATTATTCAATCATGTTAAATTCTTTCTATTTTTCTCCATTTTCCTAGGCCTCACCAGCATCGTCGAAATGCTGCTCCAGAAGGGAAAACAACAGCATCAACTACACCATGGGAAGGAAACGAAAGAGTGTAAGTATTCCTAAATGTGTACAAGTGCAGAAATATTAGGTTGAAACATAGCAGAGATGAACATCTATGTTGATATAAAAGAATTGTGATTTAATTTACTCTTAAAAAATATTGACACACTTTTAATTTTTAATAGAAATTCCAATTTATATCTTTTTTTACTATTAATTTTAATTATGTATGAATTATAATTATTGTGAGCACATTATTTATTGTGTTTTGCATTATTCTGTAACCTACAAGCAATTTATGCCATACATATTGAAATTACAACAAACAAAAAAATATCTTTCAATGTCCTGTTTTCAGTGGATTGTACACAGCTGCCGGAGCATCACCTGTGTCTGTGCGCAGCATGGGCTCCAATCACCGACGTCGATCTCGTTCTCGGTCCCCTGGCGCAAATTCCTATCGTAGGCAAGATACAGACAGATCTGATTACTCCGGAAATGAAAGCGAATCAAGCCGCAGACACAGGTAATGAGAGAATTTATTTACAGTCATTCTTCAAAACATCCTTAATGGAAATTGTCAATCACAAGTTTTAATTACTATGTTCATTTTATATCAGATCTAAATCAACCACACATTATTAGCCTGTCAAACATTCATAGTGGAGTTAGCCAATCATGAGCATCATAGTTTGTGGAGGATTAGATACAAGATATTTTTTAACCCAGATTGATCTTTATTGATATGACGTCTATGTTCTTTTTAACAGTTCATTTGATTAGATGTTTATAACATCCTAAATTGTCAGATCAAATGCAGTATCTGAGACCATTATTTATTACGTAGAGTGTTTATCACAATTCAAAAGATTTATTCTCTTATGGCTGGATTAATTGGTGTATATTTTGTATATTATACAGTTGATTTAATTGGATGTTTATTTATAGTCTCATGTTGGTATGATTAAATTGTCCAATCATGAGTCCTCTTATAAAGCATTTGTATTCAATATAAACTAATCAATATTGATTAATCACTATAATTTAATCATTTAATTGATTGGTTGTGTTCAACTTCATTTAACTTATCGTGAATAGAACTATCCAATCAAAATTATTCATGTTATTGTTTAGCACTCAAAGGAAATTAATATTCATTTTAATTAGATGAAAATGAAGTATCATTTGTTGCTTTTATAACATTAATTTGATTAGATGATTACAGTTTTATCAAAATAATTTCTTTTATCGTCCAACCAATATCCTCTTACTGTAAGTAAAAACAAAATATACTTATAAAAAATTGACACTGGATTAACTAAGGAAAAAAAAAATTCACAATATAGTCTTCATAAACATATTTGATTTCTATAAACCATTCTCTTGGTTTTCTCTCATAGGCACAAACACAGGTCTGGTTCCGAATCAGAAGGGGAACATCAACATAGACACCGTCGGAGAAGGTAAGAATGCAAAGATGTCTATAAAGTGATTATTCAATTATTATAAAGGGCACAGGTGCACCCCCTTTTTGGCCATACTAGGAACAGGCGTCTGCACAGCTAAAATTGCAAAATTTTAACTATTTGGACCATTTAATATAAATTTTCCAGTAATTATTCTCTGACACTTGTGCCTCCTCATTTATACATATTTATGGGTGAGCCCCTGGGAGTGTGCAATCATCCATTGGAAAGATTTAAAACATTGCTCCTGCATGCGTGAAGGCCGTTGCGCATGTTCATCAACCTACAGTTAACCTTCTTAGGCCTTTGTTGTCTATTCCGTATGCCTAATACTAATATAGAGTAAGGTTTTAGGGGTTTTATTGATAAAATACTCACTATTATCATTATGTACATCACATAATGTGTAGCATGAGACTTGCATTATGGATTTGCCATTGATTGCTAATATGATAATTAAACCAAAGTAACATTGCTACTACTACTGCACTTGAAATAGGTACATTTAGCCAAAGGACCCTGAAACAATTAAATAATCGTTACAAATGTATAATGCTCAGTACATCACTTCAAAGATATTGCTTATGAACTTGGCTACTCCATGAACTACTAATGATGCTTCAGTTGTTAAGTAGGTACATGTTATTGGTATGTGATAGTTTGGTTTTTATTGATTTAAATTTTTCTCCTGTAACTTTTTTCACTGACTGTCAACATTTGTACTCTTGTCCAGTTTGTCAGACAACATTGATTATTGTCAATGACAACCAAATACTTTCTCTTGAGAATGGTTAATATAAATAAAAATAAAGTTGATTACAACTAGTGATTAATTGAACACAGCCCCGGTAGAGTGATTCAATATGGTCCGTACAAAATAAGATAAGAGAGGGCAACATGGAAGATTAGTTTGAGGCCCAAGCTTGTGATGCATTGGTTTTACCATTTTTGTGGTGTGAAGCTGGTCACATGTTTATATCCTTTGGCAAGGCACTTCTTCCATGTTGTTTCTCCCACTCCAAAGTATAAGCTGGTATGTTTGAATGTCACATGATGATTATAGCAGTAATACATGAAATAATCACCAAAAGTTCTGAGTGTGCCTACCATAGGCATATGTTCTAATGACCTGGGTGACATAGAATTATCTGCCATAATAGCAAACTATTATCGTAATCATAATAATAAATTAATTATAACTGCACGTATTAACCATTTACTACATTTTGATCAGATGCTTAAACATTTAAGGTACTTTGAATGGTTTATAAAATGCATTCTACTAATTTTCCATCGTGCACCATCATGTATTTTCTAACCTCAGGTCAGCTTCAAGAGGGGGTGATAGTAGTGGAAGCGAGTCAGAACATCGGCACAAAAAACATCAGAGCAGACGACGTAGGAGGTATACTGTTCACTAACAAATTAACATGAACTTTTAGCCAATCAGATAACATGGATTTTGCATGATGATTTGCATGAGAGTTAGCATACTGATTTGCGCTAATTTATAAACATGCGCTTACTCAAGACTTTATATATGATGAAAGGGTGTATTTGTTGGTGGTTGTGTAATTAATTCTATTGATAATTTTAAGGAACAGGAATATTATAGATAATAGTCTATCTTGTGAATGCTTATTGGGAAAATGCCATTTTTCCTTTTATAGAACACCCCTTGGAAAATAGTAGAATCATCCATCCAGGCACATTGTACCCGAATGTCCTACACGTTGCTATCTATACTAGAGTTTTGTTTTTTTTTATGATTACACTGAATTACTTAGGATCTTGAAAAGCTCAAGGGTTTTGTAATTTATCAATTGTAAAACCCAATAAATTCTTCTAATATTCTGAATATTTCAGTGTGCTATGCATAATATAAAATAGTTAGAAGCTATGATTTCCATTGACCTTGTGTATACTATTAACATATGATGTTTTAATACCGTATACAGATCGTCAGATAGAATGGTAGACTCCCAAGCCCAGTGGGAGTACATCCAGCAAATGCAACAGAGTAGGGGTGAAATGAGGAGCGCTGACGATGTTGTTATACGTAATCTACGCAACGGGTAATTTATTCAATGATGAATTTAGTTATGTACTATCGTAGATCATTTATAACCATTAAAATCAAAATCTGTTTGAGAGTTTTTATTAATTGATAGATGATGATGATGATAACAAGGAGGTTTTTAATGTTGACATGAAGGCTCTGGTGATAACGATAAAGATGATTATGATGATGTTGACAATTTTGGTCATGATGATGATGGTGGTGGTTGTGATGACAATGATGATGGTGATTCTTCATCTTTTGTATGTCTGCAAAGTTTAGATTCCACAGCTAGTCTGGTCTGGGATCTTATCAATCTGCCAGTGTTTGGAGGTCATGATGGGGGTTATGATGGTGCTGATAATGATGAAGATCTGCTTGGTCAAGATGGTTGTGGTGATGATGATAATTATGATGATGAGTTACTCTAACAAAATTTGTGTGACTGATAAACTACATATTTTTAACATTCGCACCTATTACATTAGCACAAGTTGAATACTAGAATGTCTTTGTTAGAGCAAGTTTAGTACATAGGCATGTAATGTTTAGACTATTATGTATAGTTTAGATAGATATGCTAATGTGTGTAGTGTATATATTTCTAGATTTGCATGTGTTATTTACACGTAAAACTGACTATTCTCTACACGCAGGCATCTTCCCATCAATCCAACTCCGGAACAGAGAATGTGGCGTCGTGCTCGATCGTAGGTTTTTATATTGGAGTTTGGTTTACTGTCCGTCATTTGCTGTGTCTGCCAATTTGTTTACTTTTTTTTTTTTAGCTTTATGCTTCTCTTTCATGTGAATTAATGATTTTTTCCAAATAATTTCTTGGCATTTTTTTAACCTAATTCCTTTTATATTATATAGTCTTAATTCATGATTTATTTTTCAAAGAACTTATATCTGGTTAATTCTCTATATCTATATCTGATGCTTATTTTTGCTTCTTTAACCTAAAAAAAACAACTCAAAGTTTTCAAAATGCTAAAATAAAGAGGCCAGCATACTTTATGACAACCAATCACATAGTAAAAGTCAGAGGATGTTGACATTTTCAACAAATATAAAGCCATTAATTTAAGTCAAGCAACACCATGACATGAGCATGTGGGGGATCCTACATTACATTGTCTTCCACTGCATCGCTTTTACTAGAATAGAATAATTAATGACCTATCATAATAGCTTTTTTTCTTGTTAGTAAAGGCATTCCTTTTAATTTGTTGTAAGGTCTTACTTGCTATTGCCTACTTTCTTTTTATGTATTTCATCCATACTAACAGGCATATCTTCAGCTTTATGATTTTTTAAGTAAAAAAATTTGTTTTGCTTTTATGTCTTTTATTTAATTATTTATTATTAGGTATGTATTTTTAAATATGTAATGTGGAACTGAAATATTACAATATAACATTATTATTGTTTGTTTCCAAAATCCTCCTAAATTGTGTTGTCTGTTGTTAATTCCATAATTATTTGGGTTGTTTTTTCTATGGTTGTCTTTGCTGTTCAAAATGGATAAGAAAAATAGACAGATATTTTGGATATAATTATCTATAATAAACATACACATTTTTATTACGTTCTTTCCATAATTATTTGGTTTGTTTCTTTCTGTGGTTGTCTTTGCTTTTCAAAATAAAGAATTGAAAAAAAAAAATGAAATTGCTAATAAGACATTTCATAGTCTGAGTGTGCACGTCCGTACCCAAGGTCTATCAACATGAACCTATGTGGTGTTTGTTTGTTTATGTTGATGGACCTTGATATGGGCATGCGCAGTTCAAACTACAAAATGATTTTTTTGGATATAACATACACAATTATTATTATGTTAATTCCATAATTATTTTGTTTGGTTCTTCCTTTGGTTGTATTTGCTTTTAAATATTAATAATATTTTTAAAAATAATCAGGTAATTTGGATATAATTATCTAAAAAACACATACACAAATTTATCATGTCAATTCCATAATTATTTAGTTTGTTACATTCTGTGGTTGTCTTTGTCTTCAAAATAAATACATTAAAAGCAAAACAGATAACTTGGAAATAATTTTCTGTAATAAACATACACAATTTTATATTTAAAGTATAATGCAAAATTAAAGATACTATACCCATTGTTCATGGATAGATCATGTATAATTTATGGTTTTCTATACACAGTTGTGTTTAGCTTACCTTGAATTATAGATTAACAAGCAATATTCATATTTTACTTGAAGGCATTCTGGAGACAGACGAGCCAGCAGGGAATTGAAGAAACATATTGAATATGAACTCCTTGATACAGAACAAAATGGCGATCCATATGACATTCCTTACAAGAATATTGTGTAAGTATTCCAATAATGCCCTTAAACATTAAGTTATTATTCTGAGAGTGGCAGGGCAGTTGCCATGGTTCAGAATCATTTTGAGGTTGGGAGCTTCAAGGGGTGTGGGACTGCACATCCCCATAAAAAAATTTGTCCCCCCTCCCCCCATTGAAAATGTTCAAAGCAAAAGCATCACACTCAATCAGATGAAAATAAACTCATATCACTTTATTTTTCGAGCTAGCTCCCCTCAACAATCATCAAGGACCCACTTCACCTTCACGCCCCCATCGCCCATGCCCCCATCGCCCTCCCCTTCCCCATTTCAAGACTAGTAAATATGCCACTTGGCTTGAATTATACAATTTCAATTTCATTTGTGTCCTTTAGCAATTCCAAATTTCCTCTTTTCATCCATGGTTATAAGTCAGTATACCTGGTTTGTTTTGAATGCCATTGCATTAATTAAGAGCTACATAAATATTATGGAATATTGTCCTCCAGGGACAGGAAGCTAAGTAGGTGCCCAGGTAATCCACAGCACAGGTAATAATGTAATGTACATATAGACCTTGTTGTTATGGTCTATATATAACTGTGTTTCATATATTATTTTTCAAGTAAGTTTGAATACAGAGCTTAATATAGTCATTTTAATGTAGCAACATTTTTCTTTCATTTCTAACAATAATAATGAAAATAAAAAATGATAATAATAATAAAATATAAACAATTACTTATAAATGTTTAAAATAATAGAAATAACAAATAATAATTTGATATTCTTTTTTTCTACATTTATATGTTTGTAACATCTTCATAGTCCTTACTTGCTCCTTACTAAGTACCACCTACATTAAGAAAAAAATAGTGTGGTTTAATGAGATTCCTTTAACTCATCTTATTCAATTTTGCTGTGTTTGGTGGTACTGGTACCCATGACCAGCTGATTTCAGTGAAACAACTGATAATACAGTAGTATGGCTATGCAAACACTCTGAATTTGCCTCAGATGTGGTTTGATTGCTAGAATTGTTATCTTCCTCAAAGAATTTTGGAAGCAGCAATTTTTCTGAGCTCTCTATGCGATTCGGTAGAGAATTAGGGCTTCTGAGATGGTATCGTTTTACTTCAATACTATTTCATCAGTGTGATTTTCATTCAAGTCATTAATAATAATTATTATGTTTAAATGAAAAATAGTACATGTGTCACAGATAAACAAATAATGTTTCATTATCATTGTCCTAATAATCTTAGGACATCTGGAGTTGCAGTTCGAGTCACCAAGTCCCCCTTGCAGGTAAGGAAGAGGAGTAGAAGTAGGGACAGGAAGAGGCTAAGCCAATCAAGTCTAGAAGGAGACCGACTATATGTGGAGGATGAGTAAGCTATTGTTATTCATTTTTAATTAGATAAAATAACTCTCACATAGTGTAATCAACTTTTACTTAATTGATTTTGCACATAAATAATTCCATTCCTATATACAAGTCTAATTTTAAGAATGCCAATGCAAATAAGTACTAACTGTTTCAAAATGATAATTTTGTATACTTTATTTTTGTATACTCTATTCTAAAAATCTATTAGAATTTGCCAATAATATTTATCTAATAATTTATCTAAACAAATTTATATTTTTTATACATTTCTGTTCATTTCATTCTAATTTAATAAAAATGTTTTGATGTGGCTATAAAATAGTTATGAAATTTAAAGTATACAGTATATTCTCACCTTATTCTACCATATTACCTACAGAGACAAGTTTATCACATTACCAATCCAACAGCCATCGGTAAGACAGGCTCACCATCAACAAGGCTATGAACCACCCTACAACTCACCCAACCACCAGCCCAGAGAAACAAAAAATGGTCACCCACCTTCCTATTCACAATCATCCCCAAGACGAGAACAGCACGGGAATGGGGAGATACGTGTGGTGTCTGGGCCAGTACGTACCCCTGGTGAAAATGGTGGCAGGGTGCCAGATGTTGCCAATGTTGGGGAAAGGGGAATGTTTGGAAGACAACAAGAAGAGAAGGTGAAGAAAATGAGTCGATCTGGAAAAAATCAAGTAAGTTGGTCAACTTGTTTTTGTTTATATGTTTTTTACAATTTTCTTTTACAATTTTCTCCCCTATTTCATTTCCAGGAAGCAGTTTTTCTGAATTTGAGTGTCTTCATTCTATTAATTGTATTAATTGTAATATTATCTTCACTGTTCCTCTAGGATCCTGGTTGCAGCTACTACTCTGCATCCGTGTATAGAGTAGAAATTGATAATTCATCCAGCCCAAATCCTTACCTACTAAGAGAAATGGAGCGGCCCTTTGATTCGTGTCTGTCACCCATGCACAAAGATTGTGGAGAAGATGATGTTAAATTTGGCTTTCAGAGAAGTAGATGTGATTCAGGTCTTGAAGATGATTCTATATTGAGAAGGTGAATCTTGATAAATTGAAATTTACATTAAAAATATGTAAAAATTATATCTTCAACATGTGCTGCCTGATTTTTCTCTTTTTTAGACTTTCATAACTGACAATTAGAGCTCATTTTTTTCTCTTCTTTGAGCAGTTACATAGTATAACTGAAAATTGAAAGTTATGTTATGTATGGCTTCTGCACATCTATGCCAAAGGCTTATAAACACATAATCTAGCAAAATAAGTGTATGTATGATGCAAATAATTTGTGTAATAGTCTAGATTTTTTTGTTTATATGTTGTGACCTTTGACATCCTAAAATTATATTACAAGACAGCTGTTGTTATGGGCTGTTCCTAATAATTCTTTTTTGAATTTCATGTTTTGACTCGTCTTTCATTTTCCAACAGCAATTCCATGGAATGGCAATGCAAGAATGGTAACAAAGGAAACCAAGCTACATTACCACAAGACTCCATAGATGTCAAATTGGCCAATACATTGCATATAGACGACGCTCCTGAAAAAATGAATATACGTGACTCAGTTAGTATTACAAGCGAATGTAGCAGTGGACGTGGATCATTAGTAGAGCCCTTATCAGGAATTGTTAACCATCATTCATTGACCCTTGACCTTAACTCGTCATTTAAAATTGCGGATTTGAACAGGTATATGGCTGAACTTTCACCCCCAGTTTCTTCAAGTCTTGGTTTAAATCGAACGTCAAATAATTGGCCATTAGAAACTGCAAGTGTGAACACAAGAACTGACTATCCAGATTTACATTTGTCCTCCCCAAGTGAATTACATAGGCCAAGATCCCGCGGTAATATACAAAATATATCAGGTGGCAGTATCTTGTTACCGTCTAGGCATGGATATGATCTGGTGCAAGACTATGATCATCATATAGGTAATCGTGTAAATCAATTACCAATGGCGCAGCAATCGCAAGAACATTTCCAAGGGGAGTTTTATGAAAATATGAATACAAGGTCACCACTACACCAGCCTATATGTGGGTTTAGTCAGCATGTAGCGAATAGAAGTCATCTTTCTCCAATAGATGATGGATATTCAAATGAATCTCCTTTTCCCCATCAAGTTTCAGTGCAATACGGTGCTGAAGGTAGCCCCAGCGAATTGCACCATATTAGAAACAGCAAGACGAAAAGCTCCACAGATTATAAAGGTAACTCAAACGATAGTGATGTAGCTGTAGACCTTCCTAACCAGGAGAGAAGCACCTCATGGAACAGGTGTGTACATTTTCTTTATGTGTGTACCCATACTCTTTAAAACATTTTGGAAACTGAGCAAGATCCATTCTATAGTTTCAACAAGTAAAAAATGTTTGTACTGTATATAAAAAAGTAACACCCCTTAAACAGAATAGTACATCCCAAAGATTTGTGTACCATCTGTACATTAATTAAAGTTTCACTGACCTGGTACATTTGTTGACCTGTAACTGATAAACGAGCCAATGTGCACTCCCATGCCAATGTAACCAGCCCCAAAGGTGGTTGAAAGCAACCATGGGTTACATCCACTGGCGTTGATCTGTCTCACATCCCTAGTTTCTCGATAAAATTTTGATTGTGTTTTTTATTTTTCAATTTTTCAGCTACCAGGTATAGCCCCACGAGGAGTGGAAGAGAGCAGTAATTATGACATTCAACCTGAACTTTAAACTAGTGAACTACTATACTCTAGTGAACTACTATACTCTATTATTTGGATTATTATTCAAACTCAAATTCGTGAAATCTAAGAAATTTGTCGATTTTAGCCAGTTATTTAATAGTACTGTAGTCATATGTCTTGTATACAAAAATTCCAAGACATTTGTTGGCTTCATATTAATACTCTAAGCTATTTGAATACCTGCCTATGACATATTAATAAAAGGTCCGCCAACATCCCCAGCCTTAAAATTCTCAGTCTTTGATCCTTGTAGCATTTAAGATTCTGCTTTCTCAAACTGGTTAATGAAATCAAACCTTTACTTGTGGTTTGAATCATAATGCATTGCAACGTTTGCTGATAATTCTAACCATTTAACTACCTTAATGCGAGGTCATTCACCTTATGAATATAGAAGTTGAGATGCATTTGGCAATCAGTAAAAATTAATTTTTAATTAATATTTTTTAATATTATTAGGTTCAGAGTAGGCTGAAAGTATTTTTTATCATTTTTAAAATATACATTAAACTTGTATAATAAATGCTAAGTTATTTATAAAGTGATAATATTTTATGTACATACAGTAAATATCAGCTTGATTTTAATTTCATACAATATGTAAAATATTAAGAATTATAATTTCTATCTGTAAATAATGAACAAGCATAAATAATCTTGAATTTGTTGGTAAACATGTGTGTATGGAGTGATTAGTTATAAAAAAAAATCCTGTTAAATTCAGAAAGGATCTGATGATATCTTAAATTGTTGAATGTGTGTTGTATATCTTGGGCATGTTAATGTTAAAATATGAATCAGTTGTGGCTTCTGAAGGTGTCATTATTTCAGCAACCTAGGGAGGCTGTTTATGTTCAACGTCATTGTGGTGATTGAAGATGCAGATGCTTGTTAGCCATTTGTGTATTACTTGTATTTGTATAATAATCAATTTTCAATGTAGAAATGAAAGACCATGTAAAAACATTTGTTGATTTCCTTCCTATAAAGAATGACCTGCACCCAAAAGTTGTGTCTAGTCATTGGTGTCTGCAAAAAAGCTGTCACTGCTTGCACTATTCCCTGTTGTCTGAATGGGAACATAGAGCACCATTACAAGATATGGACACATTTGTGACCAGCTCTGGCAAAACCTACCATTTTGCACATGCACCTAAAACATTTGAGAATAACAATTTTGAACATTTTCAGGATGTTGCATTTTGTAAAGGAAGATATATTGAAGACAATTTCTGCAAAATATCAATCACTTAATCTAACTGAAAAGTATATTAAAATTATTTTTAAAACTATTGATTGTTGAATCTTTGAAAGCTGTTTTCTCAAAACTTACATGGCTGATATTCAATGAATTATATATTCATAACTTCGCTAATAGTCAACCAATTTCCATCACATAAACACTGTTTTAAAGAAGAATTCATATAAAATCTACAAAAACCAACAATTCAATTTGAATTTTTCTAATAAACAGCTGGTTTTGCCAAAGCCGGTCACATTTGTCTAGCAGTAAATGCAGATGATTAACAATTTTTTTACTTGGTCTAAGAATAATTGTCATCACAAATGTATACTGTAACTGTAAGCCATAAAGTATGACTCATTGGTACATTGGTACAATGCTTGGTAAGGCGCCCTCTATCATGCAACCATTAAATTGTTCTATATATTAGGCAGTTGCTTGTTCGGTTCTGAGTTTTTCACTTGTGTAGCTTGTGAAATCTGTATGAAATATATAATTAATAACGATGCAAAGCAATTTGAAGCATATATATAATGCCTTCTGTAATTGAGGACATGCTGCAGATGCTTATAAAGGCGCTTGTTTTTTCTTGTTCTTAAAGAATAATATGTGCCAATGCCGAATAGAATATCAATAAACTCAAGATAAAAATCGAATTGAGTCAGTCTTGTTATTTTGTTAAATTATGATTGGTTTTTTTTGTGTCTGCTGCCCTGGGTGGTTGGGGGGGGGGGGGTGCTGTAGACACAACAAATTGCATTGTACTTACACAATTTAATTTAGTTTCTCGAAGAATGTCATCTGGCTTCAATAAATGTATATGCCCGCATAGGTACCTAATCAATACTGTATATTGAACAAACATTACCAGCTATGCTTTGGTTATTCACTTTGGTAGTATTCTGTGGTGATTTGGTCTGTAAAATTTACCTGTGGGTATACAATACCTAAGATTTCTGGAATAACTTCCCCTGGTTTTGTTTAAGTGCTTTCATCTGTCAATTCTTTTAAAGCACTGGGCTAAATGATGTTCCTGTGAATTATGGGTCTTCTGGGTTTGGCACCGTAAACTGCGAAAGAAATGCGCATTGGTCTTGTTCTGGCAATGGGCAAACCTATCATTTTCTGGAAAGTGCATAGAGTATTTAGCAATGCTATACAAGCATTATTATTAATAATAAATTAGGTTACACCCTGGATCACAATCAATTACAGTTATCAACACTTCATTTAAACATAGACTTGTAAAAATTAATATTGATCGTGTTTCTGTTGGATATTGAAATTTCTAGACAATGAATTCAGAGAATTTGATATTAAAGGCAGTAAAATATTTTAAAATATGTTTATTTATTTTACTACACACTGGCAATTATATCAATATATCAATATGAAATCTTTCTTTATTCTTGAAGTACTCTTTTAATACTTATGTACTGGTCTACCAAGGGGTGCAGATTCATCATAAAACAAGTAACAATGTAAATACATATAAAAAATCAAGAAAGGTGGTTACATACAGTAATACTATTCTTAAATATATTTAATGTAATAATATTAGTAACAATAAAATAATAAGATAATAAAAAGTATAATAGGTTACATAACTAAGCAAAGATGCAACGTTACCAGTCAAGTATCATCAGATGTCTGTGATGATGAGGTAAGGATATTCGAACTCCATCTATATTCTTTCGACATGCAGGAGTGCATTATGATAGCAAGACTGAACTTTGACCAGGATCACTATATTGCTGATTATCAATTGCAAGTCGTCACTAAAGTTAAATTAATGGGTGTTATACATGAAGGTTAGGGTCAAGCCAGATCCACCATTCAACACCTCAGATTTATGGAAAACATCGACAAAACAATATCCACTGCCTTATTCAAATGCTAGCGTAATATTATTATGGTATTATTATTATTATTATTATTGTAATTATTATATTCTCTTGCAATAATGAGACAAATGAATGCATTCATTATAATATAATATAGTTAGATTTATATAGCACTTTATTAAGTCTCAAAGTCTCAAAACGCTTGAGGGGTGGGCTTGCTTCTCCCCTAAGGGTCTCTTCACGTCTAAGCTACCTAGAAAATAGCTATGGTCCACAACAGGGATGGATTGACCAGTACACTGGGCTAAACCCCTACTCGTCTCAAGAATGTGCTGGGTTCTTTCAAGTGCACAAGAACCAAATTGTGTACACTGGGCCTACGGTTTTATTTTTATATACTTTTAAGAAAATTGTTACAATAATGCGTTGAATATGACATTTTAAAAGGCGATTCCATGGTAGGCCAGACTTCTTTTATACCTTGTTTCACAAATTTATTTTTCGTAAAGATTGTAAGAGGAGAGCGGAAAGAAATTAAAAATGAAATTTTGATTTTTCATTTAGCAAATAGTTTTGCCACAAACATTCAGACAGAGAAAATAAAAATTATTGGTGAATGTAAACAGTGTAGCAATGGGATGGTTAAATGCCTTAAATTTACACAATTAGAAAGAAATATACATATCTTAGTTTTGGAGATTTCAATGCAGCGGCGGGCCTAATGGAAAAAAGAAAAATTTATTTTTTTCTGAAATTTCTATTTTTCATGTCGGCGGGTGCGCTAATTGTCCAAAAATAAAATTTATTTTTATTCGAAATCACCATTATTGGCGGGCAGCAGGTTTGCTAAACAAGGTATAAAAAAAAATTTTTGCCTTAGCTGCTGAGTGTCATCGATTGATATGAAAATAATGCAAGGTTATTAGAATGCTAGTATAATGTTTCAAGATTTGTTCAATAAATTCTATTGCATATGTTGCACATTGGTGCAACATTATTGTAAAGGTACTGTCTGCAGTTGCATCTGATAGAATGCAAAAACACAATAGTGTGTCAGTTCTTTTGGAACAATGAAAGTTTATTGTCCTTTATGGAATATATTAAAAAATCGGTTTTGTCACAGCTCTACTAATTTGTTTGTGTGTATTATGAATAATGCATTCTATGACTCATCAGCAAATTCAAACTGGGAATATATTCTTCAATGGTAATTTGTTAAAGTCAACTGACTGCTTTTGGGCTTTATTGTTCTTTCATTGTCTTAAATACTTTATCAGATATTTTTCTATGTATTGTATTGAAATTGGCTATGCATTGTTCACATCAATGGCTGCCCAATATACTATATCTTTTTGTTTTTACATAATTTGATTTATTATAAGTTAACTGCTAATTATCACTCCAAATGGTAACACAACTTCACTTTTTAAAAGTCTTCCATTTATTCGGTTCACTAGGAAAAAAGCTAATGATACAAATAATATGATAAACTTAATTAGAAGTGGGTTACAATGTGTAAAGACAATAATATAATACTGTGCGTTCTTATGCAAAATATCTTTAATACAACCTACAAACTTTTCTGTAAGCTGCGTATGGCAGACACCCTTCATTTTAGGTTTATCCCTGAACCATAAAGTTTTCTGTAACTACATTTATACCATAATTGTCAAGTAGCCATTTTCTGCATTCAAAAAAACACTGAGGACAAATACTTCAGTCATCTTCACTGTCTGTTTCCTCTTCTGCTTCTTCTAACCAAGTTATAAATGGTTCAACCTGTAAAAAACAAATGTTTCACATGATGATTTACCAACCAATACTCAACATTTTAACAAATACATGGTGGTAACTAGAACAAGATTACAACACACTAATTACAGATATTATTGTTAAAGCATTCAGTATTTTTTTAAAACCAATGATCAATGGAAAACTATTGATAATGCATAGTAGGTGCAGTAACTTAACTGATGAAAAATTAATAAAATCAATAAAAATTAATAAAAATTAATAAATAAAAAATAAATATAAACTATAAACGAACGAACAAATGAATGAATAAATTGATGATAAAAAAAAGCATATACAAATAGGGTAGTAGGGTCATTGCAGTGTTTCCTAGTGATAAATAACATTGTCCCAATACTAATGGAGGGTAGGGGCTTGCATTCAGACTTATAAATTTAATGACTTACATTTTTCCTAAGCTGTTGGAAGATTGGCGAAGCATCATTTGCGGGGATCTTCTTAAACCAGTGAACTATGACCTGCTCGTGTAAGACATCCTTGTCGTACAGAATGTTGAGTATCTTTGGTAGTGACACACATAGTGAGCCAATGGTGATACAACATTCCTGCAAAAATCAACAATCATTCCAGGGTCTTAAACATGAATTAAAATGAACTATATATAGTTGAACCCCCTCCTTTGGTGCACATTCAACACAAAACAAGGGAAAGCATATCTTTTAACACAGCCCATTATTATTCAGAGACACCCCTATTAAGTGAACACTTTTTTTGGTCGCTAAGGTCGAACTTAATAGGGGTTCTACTGTAATACAAATGATAAGAACTTAATGATAATAATAACAAGCTTTCACAAAAAAATGAAAGCACAGTTTTTGATATGTTATACAACTTAATGAGATACCGATGATATACAGTTAATGATAATAATAATGATAACTAAAATAACCTAAATTTAAACCAATAAAACCAATTGTTCACCACTATTCATTTATTTGGAGCTGGTAGTGGCAGTCATACTCTACCTAGAGTGACTCCAAACAACAACAACAGTTAAAGAGATACCAATAAATATTGAAAAACTGGAGGCAAAAAAAGAGGAAAAAAGGGTAGTTATGCCCACTCATATTTGCAGTCCATGGTCCAGGAAAAAAATGTAACATCCTGAAACTTCTTAAGGTCCAGGGCCCTAGCTTTGGCCAGTGAGAGCTCACAGGTGTTACGCCACGGTTCTGCATCCTCCTATATCACATACAACCCTCCCACCTACACAGACATTATTATACATACATTTATACATACACACATTTAGATATATACCAAATCCTGTCCCACTACATTGTGTATTTACCTGCAAAGATCCAAGAAAATCCAACTGTGATTCACTTCCTTTTAAGTAATTTTTTAAAAGAGGTATAAGAGTCTTGATGAACTGTTAAAAGAGAGAATAAAAAGCGTTAATACAAATGTACACTAATAGCTATTGAAATGAACATACGGAAACACAACAATCTCTCTTTTTTAGCTAAAAAACAGTATGAATTTTTTCAATGTGAAATATCTGAATGGTTTGAACAGTTGTTGTGGTTCAGGTTCCCAACCACAAGGTCAAAAGATTAAAATCTTATGCTGTCTTTGAACTAGAAAACATGCACAGTCTCTTTACTGCGAGTTCAAAAGGGTTCACCATAGAATACAAATGTTCTTATGTTGAAATTATATGGTATGACTATTTAAATAATAAAAGATTAATATATAATACATTGTGTGTCCTCCATTCAAGGGAAATATAATAGCAAATCTATTTTGTTGATGTGAAACAAGGAAATTATGAATTTATTTGACATATTTTGAATGTTCATGCATGACTAGGTATACTCCCTATGGGGCAGAAAATGTTGCCCATTGTGTATGTTTGACAGTTTCTAATGACAAGTGTAATAATGTGATCACTGTGACAATAAATGCCAAATATTATTATTAGTGTTTACTTTCCAAATCAAATACATAATTACTTAGAGACAACTATTTCTCAGAAATCCATCAATATTCACAAGAAAACTGTGCACTCCATAGACAAACAATCAACTAATTATTTATATACAAATTAATTTCAATGTACAAAGTGAAAAGAAAGTTTCACATTACTAAAAAGTGTTTTCAGTATTTAAACCAACCGGTATAATAAATGCTGCAAATTCTTTCGCTGTCAGCACAGTTGGCGAATGAGTATTCGGCAATTCCACAATGGCCTTAGTAACCAGCTGCACGAGTTCTTTCATGGAGACATTGTTAGCAAATTTGGAGGAGTTGATCTCAAGAACAAGATTGTCACAGTTGATGGGTCCAGCATTGTATGAGCTTTGAAGACTGTCTAATACTTGGTTGTAGAAAACTGAAATAAACAAGTTCAGAAGTAATATTAGAGACTTGATGCCACTCTATATTTTTCTCAGTTATTTTGGTATACTGGTGCTGTACAGGGAACATTTTGATAGATCCTTCGTCAGCGACAATGGCATATCCCTTGTTTTTCCAATTACATCTGTTCACTTGTTCAGCATAGAGACCCTCGTATTTTGTGCAGTGCAATCAATGAATTTTTTAAATCTGAAGGCAATGACCTTAACTATATTGAATTTTGATCAAAGTATTTTTGTATTTAATTTGTCTCTCTTCTGTTTTCTTGTCACCTGCTTTTGTAACGTTTTTTGTCTATTTACCTTGCGTGTTCCTTTATAAGGTCACGACCTAGGTTTTGTATGTTTTCCTTTGTTTAGTTTCGAAATAAAGTGATTTTATATTACAATATAACCTTTAACCGTTACTGCATTTTCCTTTTTTATTATTATTTGAAATAGTACTATGTGCACAGCTATAGCATTAATACTTTATTACTATTACTGCAAAGCCCTGTTGAGATTATCAAATTTCATTGGACAAAAACATGTGACATGCCTAAATATGGTCGTGATCACATCACATCATGAGCACATATAGGTACATCATCACTGTACTGTATATGGCATATGACTATATACATGTTTTTTTCAAATAAAATATGATAGTCTTTACAATGTTGGTTACTTACTTTCCGTATCATCGAGCACAATTGATGGAGGACCTGATTCATCATCGGACTCATCGCTAACTTCATCCTCATCCTTAATATGCGTATCACTTATTTTCATTCCTACAGAGATCAATATTGAATTTTAATGAATTATATAAATAGTTATAGCAGCAACATTAAGATCTAAATGAAATTCACTATTAAATAGTGTATTTTATATTAGTATAAACTTAAAAGGTTCATAGCTTTATCAACAAAATATGACCTATGACCAGCTACTTTCTTATCTACAGATATTTTTACCCCATATTTCTCTAACAAGTTCATCTTCTTCCTCATCATTATCGTTCTCCTCTGTCTTTTTCCAGATGTACCCAACACCATCGTCACCTAGCATCACCTGGTCCTGTTGACTGATTGAATCTGTGTTGTCTTTAACATTTTCATCTTCAAAATCCTCTGAAAATTCTGGTTCTTTGGGAGGGGGGATCTTGGATAGGTAAGTTCTTGAGGGTAAGGAAACATCTGGACCTACTATGACCTTCATGATAAAAAGTATCAATTAAAAAAATGGTGAAAATTCTAAATAAAACCATTTTAAAAGTTTTATTATCATGAAATCAATTAAAATACAAAAAAACCCACAAATTTTTAAGATATAGGCCTACTCTATAGCAAATTCCCTTATATAATGGTCTATGAAATGGCAACTGTTCTCTCTCATTGAAATGATCATGGTATATAGTGATGGTATTGAATGCTTTAAAAAAAAACTGTCTCTATAGAGACATAAACATTATCATTAAGTTCTGATATTGTTCACTCAAGAAAGTCATATATTTGGATTGGATTTCTTCGGAGTGACACACACCAAGGAAACCCATGAAATTCAGTGAAGTCCTTCTGGTGGTGATTGGGTAGTACACCGGCAGACAATCCCCTACACTTTTTCGAAGGGTGTACTTCTTTAACGCACATGAGCCATTTTGCACATGGGACAACGGCTTAAACATCTCATCCGAAACACAGTGCGCTTTTTTAAAAAAACCCTTCAGCTGAAACACAAGGAGAACAGCAATGAGAATTGAACCGGGGACCAGGAGATCTCCATGGTTCAGCGCACACACAGTGGCTACTACAAGTTTAGCCGACTGAGCTAAGCTGCTCTTACTCGTAGGTGTAGTTATAAATGTCTTATTTATCTATTTTCATAATCTTACCTCAAATGACAATATACTTCCAGGCTGAACTGTGACCCCTGACCTTAGCTGAACTCCATTACATAATATTGATGTATCAATTTGACAGTTGGATTCAATTATAACGTTGTCCCAAATAAATGCATTTTTCAAGACAACATTTTCACCTGCACAAAGAACAAGATACTAACATTGTGACAGCAATAATGCAAAAAGATGATTGGTCAAACTGTGTCACATGGCCAAATATCTCTCATATTTTAATATTAAATTATCTTTATTACTATTTCATTCTATTATATATTACATTTTACAATAATAAAAGGTTTGAACATAACCTTTATTTTTTGTTTCAATAAATCTGTGAGAGTGTAGTTTTACAATTCATAAATCAATTATAAATTGAAAAATCAACAAGTTAATTGATCAATCAACCAATTATGTAGATAAGATTCATTATGCTCTAAACTTCCAATGATGCATTCATAGCCAATTCAGTTGTTTGGCTGACATTAGGCAATAGTATACGTTTATCATACGCATTATTATTAATAACCAATGGCTACCAATTTGCTGTAAAGATAGTGATGCTGAAAACTCACCTATTTTACAATCTCTACCAATGACAGAGCGAGATATTGTGGTATTGCTACCTATACTTGTGTTGGTACCAATCACAACATCCTCCTCCAAAGTACACCCTCTAAGTAAATAAATACACAGCTTGAGTCTTCACGTGTTGTGAAACATTGTGGGTGTGGGTCGGTATATATATTGAGGATGTTGTAATACTATAAATATAGCCTACACCTTTGACATATTTTATAAAAATAAGATCTGTTTTTTTAACTTTCAAATGAAATTATTTGGCAACATATTCTTTTTGGACAATATAAATGTAATATCATGAATGTGAGCACTAATTGCCTTGGCAACCACTTCTATTACAAAATTAATTTAAACACTGACCTTTGAAGGGTGATGTCTTTTGCTAAATAAACATGATTTCTGCCAAAGCTGTAAGATTCTTTTCCAAGATATTCTGGTACTTGAGGGTATGTCCAGCGATGGATGATGTCTTTACTGCAGAATTAAAAGTCAAAAAACAACCAAAATCATTGCCAGTGATTGTCCACTGTTTTTGTTTTGTGCAATGTTTTAGCTTTCTACATTTCTACACAATCACAAAGTAAAAGAGAGGAGGAGGTATGTGATTTTTATACAGGATAAAATGAGCAGACAGTTTCATAACCTTTTAGGTGTTTTCTCTTAATACCTATCAGTTTGGATCAACTACCTCTAAAAAATACATCAATTACCTCTTGGTATCAATACCCATCAATGTGAGTCCAGTGCAAATTTTTTTTATCAATACCTATTAATGAAGATCACTTCTTGTTATCAATACATAAGAAAGTATAATACATACTCCAAGTATTGAAATACACGCCATCGTGTTGGGATTCAATATTTCAACATTAATTATGTCATCATCAGGAATGATTATCAATACATCAAATCAGATTAATTACCAGTTGATACCAGTACTAAATAAACTCACCTTACAGTATCATACATGGTTAGATTGGAAACCCTGGTAGCATATTCATTAGTAACTACAAATATCTGCATCTTGTTACCTTCAATCTACAGTACCAATAAAATTAACAATATCAATAGTCACAGCAATTCAAGATATCTATATGTTTATTTAACTTTTTTCACAAGAGTAGCACTTACAATAAATACTGACTCAAACATTTATAAGACAATTAAATAGATTACATTACATTACACTATGAATACAACACATAATAGGAATTCACTAAGGATTTAAAACATAGCTAGATATGAAGCATAATAAAAGGTGTGGAAATGTGTCTCTATGTAAAGAAAAAAATAAGGATGCTTCTAACCTCCTCATTGAAAATAACTCCTCTCATAAAATCACTCATGGTCTGGTAGTCAAAGTTGTCGGTGAAAAGCTCCATTACACGACTAGAACAAACACATATGTGGCACTCTTGAAGGTCATACCGCAGACTTACATTGCTATGTTCTTTAAATAATGTCTGAAAGATTTTAATGTCAAAAGTAACTGTACAAATAATATGTAAATCACAAACAAAATTGAAATGCAATTACATGCTTTTACTACAAACATTACATAATTAAAATAATCAAAAATAAAATTATTAAAATTAAAAAAAGATTAAATAGAAGTTAAAAGGCATCACCATACAGATTATAGAATAAGATACACATTAACCAAGAAAACCCAATACTTGGTTTTTCTTTCTTTCTTTTTTTATTGAAAGACAGTAAAAGATTTTTGGGAAAAAAGAGGGGGAAAAGAGTCATCAATCTCAATGATACTGAGATAGAGAGGGAGAGAGTACAATGATTCCACAATGCATCTGATAAGAACTTGTGCATCCTATACAAGTTGTGCAAGTAAAAAAGTTTATGTCGATGATGCTATGACGCTATTGATAATGAATGTAGCATAAATTTACTTTTGAAACAAGTATACCCCTACATACACAATTGATATATTGACATACCACTGGTATTTTGACTTTTTTAACGTGTTTCATTTTCTGGTAGTTAAGAATGGTACCATTGTTGTCAGTAGCAACAAAGAATTCATCTTCTGTACAGCGCCCTCTATGACCCGGATAAGCATGTCTGAGTACCTTTGTCATTACACAAGACTTGTCCACTTTCAATCGTTCTCTGAGAAAAACCAAACATTTGTACAAAAACCTGATTTGCATAAATAATACATAGAAATTGATTATAAAAGTAAAAGCTTCAGAAAAGCACTAATGAACATTTGAATCCATCTCTGGAAAAAATTAACATTTGTATAAACAACCGATTTTCATACATAATACACTTAAATGGATTATGAAATAAGTCTTTTTATGAAAAGCAATTAAAATCACAAATTATCAAAAATAAAAATAAAAAATATAAACATAGATTGAAACCATTCAGTTTTCAATGATTCAAGGACGTATTAAAATGGAAATCCGTAATTTAACTACTAGCCAATTTAAGGGTCTATAAACATTACAGAATTAAACCAGGATGATGACGGAAAATCCAAGTTTATTTCAAAACTTTTTCCAAAATCATGGAAGCAAATTACCTGTGAGCATTTAAGGCATCCTTAAGTTGGACACTGGAGACAACGTCTCCATTAACAAGGATGAAGTCTGAACGTATTAATGCTTTTCTATCGATTTCTCTCATGGCATCTCCCAGGGAGTGACACCCCTCTGACATAATGGTGGTGACAGTGCATGGTGATGTCCTTTTGTTCCACTTTGATTCACTATAAGAAAAAAAAAATCTTAAATTTTAATATGTTAATAACGTTTAATAAATTAATTATTTATTAATTAATTAGCAATAAATTAATAAATACAGGTCTCCCTCCAATTAAAGACCATTTTTTTGGACCTTTTTTTTCTATGGTCTTTAGCAGCTTTGGTCTCTAATTAGAACAATAAAGATAAAGATAAAAGACATTTGCTTGTTAAGTCGGGACCACAAAATAGTGGTCTTAAATTGGAGGTGGTATTTGATTGAAGGGGTCTGTAATTAACAATAAATTAATAGTACAATTTTGAGTTGTTAACTAACAAATTAATAAATAATTAATATCATATTCATATATATATATATATATATATATGCTCTGCTATAGCATTGAGCACTCTGTATGAAGATAGACTCCTCTTCAGCACACAACGCTCCTGTCTACAGTCGAGCACTCTAAGCCTATCTACAAACACCGACAGATGGAACCACCGAAGAAAGTGAACTTCAACTATTCATTAAAAAACATCCCTATACCAACAGCCAACGCCTGTCTCTTATACACATCTCTACGTTTGGCAAATACCTCAAATGTTTCTTAATTTTGTCTGCATGAGCACAACAGAACACAAATATCTCTTCAACCCCAGCTGCTGCTAAGAATTCAATGGTATAGTCCAGCAATGGATTATTTACTATTGGCATCAGTACCTGAAGAAGAAAGAAAATGAATGAAAATATAAGATGGAAGATATTCTTCCCGAATCTAAATCTAAAATTTCTAAGGTAATAAATATATATATTTTTAATTTGCTGAGGTATCATATTCCCTCTTCATCACATTTTGTTTTTCCATGTTTGCAGTTTTGTTTTTTCTTTCTTATGTATTACTAGGCCCTATGTAAATTTTTGTTTTCTAAATGTGGAATTGGAATTAATATATGCTAAATCCACCTCAGATTAGGTCAAAAAAAATGGGTAGGTTTTTCTTTACAACCAAATATGTGTTTATGCCTAAAAAGATATATAAAAAAGACATATAATACAATTTTGGATTCGCATCGCATACCATCCGGCAAAATAGGCTAACCCTGACCCTCCCACCCAGCCCAGCCAAGGCTATTCCAGTTTTATTTGCTCATTAAAAAAAATACTGTTCGTTGTCTAAAAAAAAAAATTGTTTAATAATAAAATGCCGACCCTTAATTTTGTAAAATTTGGGTCGGTCGGGCTTTGCTAACACAATCACTTTTTCTTGGCCTTATTATAAAGATTTGATTAGGAAAATAACATCAAATCAGGATTAAGAATTAGTTAAAAACAGGTGTAACAATAGCCACTAAATTAAAATAGGCCTATGATATAATGGATGAGGCGAGACTTTTTCAATACCTTGTTTAGTGAACCTGCCACCCTCTAATAATGGTGAATTCAAATAAAAATAAAACTTTATTTTTGGCCAATTAGCACACACCTGACGCCACAAAAATATGGTAATTTCAGAAAAAAAGATAAGTTTTTCTTTATTTTTATTCAGCTGCCATGAAATCTCGAAAAAATAAGATGTGTATATTTCTTCCTAATTATATAAATTTAAAGCACTTTAACCATCCCATTACAACTGTACACTGTTTATATTCACCAATAAGTCTTTTGCCATAAAATTATGACCACAAAAAGGCAATTCACAAAATATTATTAATAAACTTTAAGTCTAACTCTTATTACTAATTGCCTATATTCAGGGGTTATCAATACATATTTATCAGTCTACTAGGGTCTAGCTATGCCTAATGTAATGATCAGTTCCTGTGTTTATCCACAACATACTGCTGCCCGATTCATTATCGTGGCCGCCTCTCGAACAGCTGCTGTCTGCAGATTTTGTTTCTAATATCAATGCTTACTCTGGGAATTTCTTTTGTGATCGGTGCAAACCGAACATTGAAGCTGTCAGCAAGAACAACGGCCTGCAGCACATCCTCTTGCTTAAGAAGTGGATCTGCAGCTTTTGATCCTTTTTTCTTTGAAGACATTTTGTGTATGATGCAAGTGTGGTGTGGTTTGTTTATAGAAATTATTGATGGCGCCCTTTGCAGTAAACTTATGGGATATTCAAACGTGGTTAATAGGTCCATGGTGAAACGAATAAAGCTGAATACTATACTATCAACATCAATTATATACACGTAACCGTGCCTGAAGACGGCTAAAATGGCATCTCTGTGGAAAAGAAAAGTGATTGTTTACCTGTTTAAAACATTGTTTTGCCTACTTAATTTACAAATTACCCTACAGCAAGGTTAGCGCTTAGATGCAAAATAATTTTCTGTAACGTTTTCTTTTTTTTTAGTTAGAAATATATCAATTTTAATTTGTTTTAGAATGTTTTGATCGTCAAGCATGTAAGATCACTTCCTCTTTTATATATAAATGCATTAGCATGAGGTTGAAACTAGTGATCACCCGCGAACGGAATTAGACACTTGGTCCTAGCGTACATACTGTTTGAGGCTGTATTTTTGAGTGATAACGGGGTTTTGTTGCTTGAATTAGTTTTGCTCAAGGCCAACTTTACTGCAATAATATTCAGATATTTTAGTGACATCTTGACTTGCTAAAATTACAATATTTATTATATTACAACAATTCTGATTTCAGAGAGTGCAAATATAGGTACCACTCCAGGGATTAATGCTTCAACTCCTCTCAACCAACAAACAAATACTGATTCTTCAGTATCACCAAATGCAACCACAACCGCCACAACATCAAAAACTATGCCAAAGACAAATTCTCCGACTCCTCTGTATTGCCAGAAGGACTGGAATAAAAATTGTGAGGAAGTAAGCGGTGACTGTCTCGACTGCACTTTTTTAAAGAACTGCATTTATGGAAAAACTTATAATGTAACCTGTACCCCATTAAATGGCGTCATTTGTATTAAGGTACGATGGTGTACTATGATATTAATAGGCTGTGAAGGAATCAGATAAAGAAATATTACTTTTAACTTAAAGACAGTTTGCGTATAATGGCCACCAGTTGTTTATATTTAGAAGTAAACAGGCACACATTACACCACTGCCAATGACAGGGTAAATAGCTCTGGATGTTTTATTTTAACAGGTATAAAAGGATGAATGCATACCATAAATAAACTACAAAGGGAAAATTTAATAATAATATTTTAATTCAATCAGTTGATTTGATGTTAAAAATGCAGTGTTTAGAGTTAACATTATTGTAATTTGACTGAATTCATTCTTTGTAAAGGAATCTGAAGACATCAAAAAGAACATGATTTGTCGGTACTGTTACCAGACACCAGATTGGCTTCACCAATGCACACCCCCTAAAAACGAAAACGAGCCTTGTAAAGTTGCTGCAAGCCCACTGGAATACGTCATCGTCAATTGTACTGTCAATGATGATGTTATTTGTTTAGGTAACTTTTCCTTTTTAAGTCACTTTGTTTATTTTATATTGTTCCAACATTATTCATTATAGAAAAAGAAAAATTAACATTATGTTAATTTAAAAAAAAAATAAGTATTTAATTTGTCTAGTCACTGTTGACTGACAAAGCTGCAATCTTGGAGTTTCGTTTGATGAACAGCTAAATGATGGCCATGATTTCATATCAACAGAATGTGTCAATCACATTTATCTACTGATTGACAGGTTAAGTTAATATAAATACCTGAAAAATGAACAAAAAAACTAGACTTGTTCCTATATTTGTAATGAGTCGCATTATATATATGTTGTTTGTGGATTTATTTTTAATAGTAAGGTTTGGAATAATCATAGAAACACTGCCACTTTACTATTTTACAAAATACCTGGTTTATTATGAAAAACATTATGAATCATAGAGATCAAGATAAATGTAAATGTAGGTAGGTGACGTGTGGATTAAAATACATCATTGTAGTACAGTATTGTGGCACATTGTAACTTAAGAGAATAATATAATTTCTTATGTAATATTAATCTTTTTTTTAATTTAAAAAAAAAATAATTTATAAAAAAAGGACTTTTGTTTTGCACTCTCTCTCAAATCTGAAGAAAAAATTGGATGACTTCTTAAAGTTATATAATGAAAAAAGAATATATACAGTACCAGACCTGATACAGAAAGTTTATAGAGACTTCTTGACCAGTTTTTTATATGCATTTTGATTGTCTTTATTAAATAAATTTGTTTTTATTTTCTGGCAGGTCATCGGCAATTTCATAAACGTGTGCCTTGCAACTGGACTTCAGGATATAAATGGTCAACTGCTTTGATTTACAGGTTAGAATTAAATTGAATCAACTAACTATTACCTTCATGTTTAGAATGATTTCAACTGTCTCAATTTCAATCATTCTAAATTGTAAAAAGGACTATTCTAGAAGTGTGACGATAACTAGTGTTTATACAGACGGGGCACAGCTGGGATGTGTTCTCCATAGTAGTAGTAGACAATCGAGCGAAGAGAGTTCCCGGCTTAAAGAATCCTCCCAATAGTCCCACTGCTTAAAAAATAACAAAGATATTGTCATTTGAAAATAAATAAATTTCATAATTGTTTTAGCTACATACAAAATGTTGTTATTTCTATTTTGTGATTCTAGTATAACGCTTGGTGGATTTGGAGCTGATCGATTTTATTTAGGCCACTGGCAGCAGGGCCTTGGCAAGCTGTTTACATTTGGGGGTATTGGAGTGTGGACTTTGGTTGATGTAATCCTCATTGCCGTTGGATACACCCGTCCAGCTGATGGTTCTCACTACATTTAGGATGGAAGAGGGAATGTTGATTGGTTGCTAGGAAACAATGATTTTGGTTACTAACTCGCTCTACATTTGTGTGTACAGTAATACTGTAGAACTTTGAAAATTTCTCCAAGAGTATAGAGGTAAATGGCTAATGATTACAGCAATTACTTTGGTTTAAAAAAGGGCCAGCTATTGTTTCTAGAGTTGGAGCAATGCTTCATTGGTTTATCTTTCAAAGAAATTGAAGATATTGAGAAAACATGCAACATTTTTATAGTAAATGTATTACATGTAAAGGGCTGTGTCACTTAAAAAATAGCCAAGTTTTTCCCTGGTGGACAGCTTAGTGTTGATCACTTGTAAGTTGAGGGGCAGCCACAGAGCAAATTTGAATTGATAGTGCTTTACATATACTACAGCACTTGTTTTTTTCCAGTTCATTGATGGCACCTGGTTTTGCCTGATAGGTTGGAGACGGATTTACATGTGAGCAATATTGGCTAAGCTCCAGAAATTAATATGGTTGTTTAGTAGTTAATGCTGTCACTTACAAATTGTTGATAAACAACAATTGAAAACGTATCAATGGGACTGTCCCTTTGAAGAGATAGTGGACTTAAACATACTAGTCTATCCAGTTTTTGTCCAGACATTGCTATGTGGTGATGTAATGCAAATTGTTGGCAACATTTGTCCCGCACACTGTACGCACAACTTGACCTGCTGCTGACAACTACACTTTTCCAGCGATATCTTCTATAAAGATATTATATCTTAAACCATACACACATTTAGGATACATATACAAAAACGGCAATAAAAAATACATGGTTGTCATAGAAATTTTATATAATTTTGTTTTTGTCTGAAAATTGCAGTTAGTGTATTTACAGATCTATATTAGAAAAAAAGAAACCTAAACTTTATAAATAAACATAAGATGTTTAAAAGTCATTCACATATATGTACAGTAAAGACTGTACTGTATTGTAGATAGAAAACATTTGTACTGTAAATAATAAATTTCATACAGAAGTAAAATTTTAAATCAAGAATCAGAAAGAGGTTTTCTGAATCATGTACTGTAAGTTTCATGTGAATAAATATATCACTTTGGATACAAATGTGTTTTCATGTTAGTAAATGGTAGCAAAGTGGTTAAGGATCAGGTTCTTGGTTCAGCATTAAGTGAAAATGACACCTTTACAAATTTACTGTATTACATCAATTATTAAATACTAATTCATGGCATGCTGATGAGACGGTAATCCCCCTGCCCCACATCTGGCATGCCACTATTGCTGGACACACCCAAGTGGTCCCAGAAGCCTAAAAGTTTTCACTCTCTTCACTTGCAAAGGGCACATTCTTGAAATACAGTAAACTGTGCATGGTATCGTCCCTTATTGAAATAATATAGCTGTGCCTGGGTATCATCCTTTTAGACCTCTTTGAAAATCAAGTCCAATCTTGTTTCTGAGCTGCAGGTTGAGCATCTCTACTTTTAGTCGAAAACACCCTTTTATTGTATCATCAACGAATGCAGCTTCAGAGGACTGTGTTGTTATCAGGTAAGGCAGCACGTAAGCCTTCAGCTGGTTTTCATGCTAGCTTCACCCTTCTTGGACTTCCTCATTTTCTTCTTCTCCTTCCATTCCTTTCTTTTCCTTGCTTCTTCCTCCTCAGGGTCCTAAATATATGAACACCATTGTTATTGTACTGATAATTTGCATTTTAACCTCAAATACAAAAAGAATCAAGATATATTATTTGCAATGTGTAAAACATGTTTCACTAGAAATACAGTGTAAGGTTTTGATGCTAATGGTAAACATTACACATATAAAGTGAAATTTAAGATTTAAATTAATATTTCCTTGCAACAAATCACTATTCACTAATACTGTATATTGAATATTCTGACAAATATTAAGTGCAGACTTGTATGGCTATTACTGTATATTCTGACCCTACCTTTCCTTCTCGTATAAGTTGTTTGTGTCTGTTTATCTTTCTTTTCTCTCCGAAGTCAATCTCCTCTAATTTCTGCAGATGAAATAAGACAATGAACGCTTGTAATTATAATGCTTGTAATAATTCATTGCTTCCCATTCTATAATCCATTTTTTGAATCTAGTTTAAGATGCTCGGGCTTTCAGTTGCATGAACACCAGGAATAAAACCTCATACACTGTTATATATTGCTGCCTATTGTTTGTAGCAATGTAAATATACTTCAGACAAATATTCTAGTCAATTCTATAAACACATCCTTACCAGTTCAGCTTCTCGTTTGGCAACTGAAACTTCATTCAAAATTCTCATTACTTCATTCTCTTCTACAGGATACTCTACAAGTTTAGTCTCTGGAAATTTAAAAAAAACATTAATCATTATTTTAGAACGTATATTTCTTGGCAATGGCAGATCTAGATGATCCCACCAAGCAGAGGTGAACTAAGTAACAGAGGTGATGACAGGTTTTGCCCGACGAGGGGTTCAACGTCCCCAACGAAAAAAGTGGGCGTGGTTCAAAATTTCCCGAAAGTCTTCCAAAGGGAATAAATGACAATTTAGAGGTTTCAAAGGCTTATTTAATCG